ATCCAAATTTAATCATTCTAACTTTCAAATTTAATTTTTTATTTTAATTATATATTATTAAAATAATAAAATAAATTAATAAAATAAATTAGAATTATTAAAACATGAGCAATTTGAAAGTTGAGAAGTTAAATTAAAAAATTTTAAACTTTAGTGACCAAAATAAGAGTGAGAAGATTATTAAGTGGTGAATAATGTAATTTATCCATAAAAATGTCATCTGTATTTATTTAGTTAAATTTTTAATGAAATGTAATAAAATGAAATAAAAAATAAACGTTAAGTATGATTTTAAAACAAATGAAAGATTAGATACTAAAACGAAACAAAATGGACAATTCAGGTACTAAACGTGTACTTTACCAAAATTTTAAATAATTGTCCGACCGTTTAATTTTACCCTACCGAAATTATATCACTCAACTGCAACCTACAAATTATCTATCGGATAACATTATTTATTACATCACCATCTCTTATTTATAACGTTTTTTAATCGAAGTAACGTAGATTAAACACTTACGTTCCTTATTTATTACATCAATTCATTTATTCATATTTAAGATTATTTATTTAATAACACTCTGTGTTAGGGTTTTCTCTCTACCTTTGGTAGCCGTCTTTTCAATCGTTTGGCAATAATCTGAGTTTTCTCAGTTTGTTTTGCTTGTTTTGTCTTCTTTTGTCGGCTTCTTCTTTCGGGTTAAGGAATGGGCCAGATGGTGAGGGACCTGAAGGAATTGAATATGGGGAAGAGGAAGAGGAAGAGGAAGAGGAGAGTTTAGTGTTGGTTTCATTGGAATCTCCATCAACTATCTCGTTTGAGCATTGGCTAGTTGAGCGGTTTATTTCGGCGAGTATGATAAATTTTCAGGCCATGACGATGATTCTCGCTTACATTTGACACCCAATTGGAGGGAGATCTATTACTGAATTGGGTGATGGTAGATTTTTGATTCGATTATTTCATGTGGATGATGTAGATAGGATTGAATCCAAAGGGCCTTGGTACTTCAATTCCCATCTTTTAGTTTTGTATCGGTTAAAGTAAGGCAATTCGATGTTTGTGGAATTACATTGGTCTGCATTGTGGGTTATAGTAAAGGATTTGTCAGTGGGATTTATCGCTCAACAGGTCGCTCAAAAATTCGAGAATTTTATTGGAAAGTTTGAGTATGTTTCTACGGTAGTATCATTGTGTTAAAGTGGCTATATTCGGGTGCGCATATTGTTCGCGGAAACCATTAAAAAGAATATTGCTCTCCCAAACGGGTCTCATTCTTATGCACAGTTTCACTACGAAAAACTGTTTATTTGCTTTAGGTGTGGGAAATTGGGGCATGGTCAGATTTTGTTCTCTGATGATGTTGCAGGTAAAGGCAGATCTGGTGATTCAGTGGGACGATTCAATTCAGGCTCTTCCTCGAAGAAAAGGAATGGCCTCGAGCCCTTGGTTATGTGATGAGCATACTGAAGTGGAATCGATGGCTCCTAAACGGGAGAATGCGATCCAGTGTCTCAAGGGGTTGCTGGTACGAGGGAACAGACTAAGGTTTGGGTGAAGAGGATTTTTCATTCGGGTAATATTATGGTTGGGGATGGTGATTTTGGTGATATAACAATGACTGTAGCGGATGAAGAGAACCCCATTTCAAAGACAGAAAATGCAATGAGACAGAGGAGCGCTCCAGTTGCTCTATTTACAGAGAAGGTTGCCGAAACTGAAAATAATGTTATATCAGCATGTCTGTATCATCATGCTAGTCGGTCACAATGAAAATGTTAAGTTGGAACGTTTGGGGTTTGGGGATGACCTGGACGGTTCAACATCTCCGTCGTTTGCTGAGAGAGATTCATCATTCCATTGTTTCTTATGGAAACAAAAATATAAGGTTCACGAATGGAAAAGGTCGTTAGTCGTGCGGCCTTATACATGGGATTGAGGTTGATTCGTAGGGTTCAAGTGGTGGAATTTGTTTGGCATGGAAGTATTATTGTGATGTGGTTTTGCGATCTTATTCTAGTTCTTATAAAGATGTCTTAATTAATGCAGACGAGGATGGTATGCAGTGGCGATGTACTGGTTAATAATATGCCTTGGTTAATAATTCTAATAAGCCTTAAAAGATGTCTTAATTATAAGGGAAGATGTTGGGAGTCTTGGCAATTGTTGCGACAACTGGATGACAATTCTACTATGCATTGGTTAATAATTGGGGATTTCAACGAAATTCTTTTCTCGTTTGAAAAAGGTGGACGGGTTCGTGGTGAGTGGCAGATGTCTACTTTTAGGGAGGTGGTGGTCATTTGCGGTTTGATGGACATTGGTTACATAGGCTCGTTCACTTGGGAATGAGGTCGCTCAGAGGATACCAATATTCGAGAACGACTAGACAGTGGTTTTGCAAATGAGGATTGGAAATATTTATTCCGGATTATTCGTTGAAGCATTTGACTCATTCTTTTTCAGATAATTGTCATTTACTTTTGGATACAGTCGCCCACAATTTAAACGGCCGGCATTGGTATTTCAGATTTGAAGCTTCCTGGTTGCTGGAGAGTTCTTGTGAAGAGGAAGTGTGTTTTAAAGAAAATTGCAAGTCTAAACGCCTTTTAGTCTCATAAAAAAAAAAAGACTATCAGAATTAGTTGAATTGCAGTCGACTGATGAGGTGCTCGGTGAAAACATCGAAACAAAGTTATTTTTAAACATAGAGTTGGACAAATCGGAGCTGTATTGGGAACAAAGAGCAAGAGCAAACTGGTTAAAGCACAGAGATAACAATACCGTTTTTTTCATCGATATGCATCAACAAGAAGATGAAAAAAATATAATTATGGCGTTGGAGTCCAAGGATGGGTCGGTTGTGGAAACGGATGTGGGTCGTGAAGAAATAGCTAGAAACTACTTCAAGAAGTTATTTACTTCAAACGAGGATGGTCTAGGGGCATTGTTTTATCAGAGATTCTGGCACGTTATAGGAAAAGAAGTAGCCGAGTTCTGTATGTGTCTTCTTCAGGGACGGTATGACATGCATTCAGTCAATCATACTTACATCGTTTTACTTCCAAAAGTGTAGTCTCCAACAAAAATAGAAGATGTTAGTTCATAGAATGCATAACACTTTACACCTTTGCATTGATGAAGCGCAAAGTGCTTTGTGGTGGGTATATTAATTTCTGATAATACTATTGCAGCCTATGAACTTTTATAGTCTTTTATACATAAAAGAGAATGGCGGAAAGGGTATTTCGCTATGAAACTTGACATAGCAAGGCGTATGACAGAGTGGAATGGAGTTTTGTGCGAGATGTCATGGAGAAAATGGATTTTGCAACTTCTTGGATTCAAATGCTTATGTATTGTATCTGTTTGTTTCGTATTCAGTCGTAATTAATTGTGTGGCAGGTGTTTCATTTACTCCTCAGGCTCAGATAGGGGGATATTCTTAGTCTGTATCTGTGCATTGAAGGACTTTCTACTCTGATTAGCTCTTCCATTGATACAGATGTTTTGCATGGGGTTTGAATAAACAGGTATGCCCTTTTTGTTTCACATCTGTTTTTTCGATGAAGATAACCTTCTCTTTGGGGAAACAACAACAAATGTAGCAATCCAAATGAAAGAGATCCTTCGGATATATGGGGAATGTTCTGGCCAAGAAATAAATTTGACAAATTCGATGTTTTCTTCATCTCAAATGTCATTGATGGCAATCCCAATGATGTTTGGCGTATTTTGGGAATTTCTAATGTTTCCAATCCGGAGAAATACATGGGTTTACATGCCATAGTGGGTAGAAAAAAGGGGGTGGCTTTTGCGTTTTTGAGAGATAAATTTCAGAGTCGTGTGAAGGGGTGGTGCATTCGAGTTCTGTCCCAAAGGAGTAAAGAAGTGTTCAAAAAGTCTGTGTTCCAAGCGATTCTTTTGTTCGCTATATCCTGCTTTTTATTACCTAAGAGTTTATGTACAGAACTTGAGGCTACTATGGCTCGATTTTGGTGGCAGAAGTCGAAGAGCAAGCGCAGTATTCACTGGTGTCAAGGGAGTAGGTTGTCACCTCAAGGAAATGGGGGTCTCAGCTTTCGCGATTTAACTAAATTTAATATTGCTCGCAGGGTTGGCGTCAGATTCAAAACCCTTCTTCTTTGGTGGCTCGAATATTAAAAGCAAATATTTACTGTAGGGGATTTCTTGTCTTCCCACCTGGGCTCTTCTTCTTACGTTTAGAGAAGTATTTGGAGTGCGAAGGGACTACTGGAGAAAGGTTTTCGATGGAAGGTGGGTTCAGAGAGCTCGATTTCAATATGGAATGATTTTTTGTTGCTGAGGAATATTCCTAGACGGTTTGAATCAGTACGGGATGATTCGGTTGAATCTGTTTCGGATTTGATTGAGGGGGATACTATGGTTTGGAGGGAATCGGTTATTCTAAGAATTTTCAATGAGGGGGAGGCTAATTGCATTTTAGGCATTTCGCTTTCTAGTTTTAATCAGATTGATTGCAATGTTAGAGTATAATAATGCAGCTATCTACAGCTGATTAGCTGTAACTGTTTCTGATTAGTTAAGTTGTTACAACTGAATCCTGTTAGTTGGGCCAGTTAGTTAAGCCTTGTTATATATAGTGGGCTGTCCACTATACATGATCTAAGTATGAAATAATCACTATGTAATTTCTGAACTTTGTATTCGTTTCTCATTTTTTTCCAGTAAAGTTCTGTTTGCATTGTTATCTTTCTGCTGCTTTGTTTCTCTCTTCTCTCTTCCAGTTTACCATAGCATTTATCAAATATGTTCTCTTCCACTTAGGTCTCTTGCAATTTGATTTCGTATGTGCTTGTTCTCAGGATTGATGTGTTGCATCTCCTCTAGTCTGGCTGTTCTTCAGTTTCTGCTTATTTCGATGTGTTGTCTGTGCTCTTCGAAGGATCTTCGATACTGGTGAGATCATTCTTACTCCTTAATTGTTAGCCTACTACATTCAGCTCTTTGCTGCTTTTCTGGTTGCAAACCTGTGATTTGTCTACTGTTTGTCTTCTGCTCTTCATGACAAATACGTTTGATGAAACTGTTGTGAATGCCATTGCTAGTTCTGCCTCTTCTGCTAGGTTGTTCTCTACTAAGAAGATCAATGTTACTTTAGATGACCATAATTATTTGACATGGTATCAACGAGTTTTTCTCACTATTAAAACACATAGGCTTCAGAAATATAACTCAAATGTTTCCTGGCCTACACAGTATATTACTTCTGATGGTGTAGTTAGCTTAAATCCTGAGTATGAACTGTATGAGGAACAAGATGGAGCACTTGCCTCATGGTTGCTCTCTACCGTTAGTGAGGAAGTGTTGCCTCATCTCATAGGTCCTAATACTGCAGCTGAAATCTGGAGTACACTGCATAGGTTATACAGTGGCAAGACTACCTCTAGGTTAATGTCTTATAGGAGAAAGCTTATTCTCAGAGGAAGGGGAGCTGAGTATGAGAGATTACTTTATGAAAATCAAGTCTGTTTGTGACAATCTAGCTAGCTGTGGTGAGATAATTTCAGAACATGAACATATCACTGCTATTTTAAATGGCCTGCCACCTGAGTTTGAGTCTGTTGTTACTGTTATAACTGCTACTCCTACCCCTCCTGGCCTAAGGTCTGTTAGCACTATTTTATTGGATGTTGACACTAGACAGACACATTCTTTCAATCATGTCACTGCCTGTGCTTATGTTGCTACTCAAGCTGCAAATGATCATGTGGTCCTAATAATTTGTCACAATCTGAATATCAAAATAAGAGTGACTTTGTTGAGAATGTTGGTCAAAACTTCGATAATAACAGCAACAGTAATAAGGGAAGAGGCCAAGGACGATTTTCATCCTCGAGGCCACAGTGTCAGTTGTGTGGCAGAATGGGGCACCTTGTTGAAAGGTGTTATTATAGGTTTGACATGAGCTACAAAAATGAATCATCTCGCCCCTCACAAAATAACAATAATAGAGGCTATTCCACTGCTCAGGCCAATGTCAGTTCTTATAGTTCGAACAGTGGCACCTCATCCCTTTATAATTCCATGTACTATGCCTTTCACCTTTGATAACAGCCCCGCAGGATTCTGTTTTTCCAGCCCTACAAGGTTCTGTTTTTCCAGCCCACAAGGCCATGTTGGTTCTGTTTTTCCAGCCCCACAAGGCCCTGGTTTTCGCCCACAGTCAATTCCTTTCACTATTCATCAGCAGGCCTGCCCAAATCCTTACAATATGTCCTCTTTCCTACTACAATACCCCTCAGTCCACAGCCCTTCAGTGTCATGCCACATCTCAAGCTTACATAGCTACACCTGAAACTGTGGATGATAATGCCTGGTATCCTGACTCTGGAACAACACATCATATCACTAAAGATTTTAACAACCTACAGGTTAAAGATACTCATTCTGGAACAGGTAGTGTGATTGTTGGTAATGGTAGCTCTCTACCAATACAGTCCCTAGTAACTCATTTTCTGTGCTAAGTCTAATAAGTTTCATTTAAATAAGTTATTGTATGTGCCTAATATCACTAAAAATTTGTTATCTGTTTCCAAATTCACCCAGGATAATCAGGTTCTGCTTGAATTTTATCATGATTTTTGTCAAGTTCGTGACCTGCACACTCGGAAAATTCTGTTAAAAGGAAGAGAAGATGGAGGACTATACAAATTCAATATTGACATGAATAAACTTGTTGATAGTGACTCTGATGATAATTACAGTTGTCTGCCTACTAGTGATATGCTTCATATTAATAATTCTGCTCTTAATTATGTGTCTTCAATAAGTTGCCATATTGTAAATACTAGACTGTCTATGGATGTATGGCACAAGAGGCTAGGTCATCCTTCTAAAGAAGTTTTGTTTTTTGCACTAAAACACTACAATGTAATTCCTTTTGATATAAGTAAAGATCAAATGTTATGCAAAGCATGTCAACTTGCTAAATCACATAAATTGCCATTTTATGAATCACATACTGCTTATTCACAACCTTTAGAGCTTGTAGTGTCTGATGTATGGGGTCCTACCCTGTGTACTCTAATGGATTTAGATACTATGTTTCCTTCACTGATGCATATAGTAGGTATACTTGGATCTATTTTTTGAAACAAAAATCTAAAGTTAAAACTGTTTTTCTTTAATTTCATAAACAGGTAAAAAGGCAGTTTGGTGTCAAGCTCAAGGTGTTTCAGTTAGATGGAGGTGAGTTTGGTGTTCTTCAAGCCTACATGAAGGAGCAAGGTATTGTGCACAGGATGTCATGTCCTCACACTTCAGAACATAATGGTTTAATAGAAAGGAATCATCGACAAATAGTTGAGGTAGGTCTCTCTATGCTAGCTCAAGCTACAATGCCATTAAGTTTCTGGAATGATGCTTTTTCTAGTGTAGTATTTCTTATTAATCGGTTACCTACTCGAGCATTATCTGACATTTCACCATATGAAAAGCTTTTTCACAAAACACCAGATTATAGTTTTTTAAGGGTTTTTGGTTGTGTGTGTTACCCGTTTCTAAGACCTTATAATCAACATAAATTTCAGTTTCGGTCTTCTGCTTGTGTCTTCTTGGGTTACTCTCCTACTCATAAGGGATACAAATGCTTAGATTCTAGTGGTCGAGTCTATGTGTCAAGACATGTTCGCTTTGAAGAGAATGAGTTCCCTTATCAACAGATTCAAAACCCTTCTAGTACCTCTACTCCATCTATGATATATAGTTATACTAAAACTGAACAAAAGTGTTCGGGTTTCAAAAATATTAGCTCCCAAAACAATTGGTTTTATCCTTCCATTCTTTCTTCCACTAACACACACAATCACAAGTTAGTCTTACCATCTTCTTCACTACCACAACAGATGTCAGAGTTGTCATCACCAATATCAACACCTCATCCTTCAAATCTACCATCTATCACACCTTCAACATCATCACATTCATTCACCTCATCACCACCCAATGTTCTTTCATCACAACCATCCACATCATCTTCATCTCATCCATTCACAACTACTGCATCACTACCACCATCTCCATCTCCATCATCTACATCACTACCGTCATCTCCATCTCCATCACCTACATCACTTATGCCATCTCCATCTCCATCACTTACATCACTTATGCCATCTCCATCACCATCACCATCACCATCACCATCACCACCACTGCAACGACAAATTCAGAATACACATTCCATGGTTACTCGAGGAAATGCTGGCATTTCCAAGCCTAAAATATTGCTTGTTGAGACAAGTCCTCAAGAGCCAACTAGTGTCTATGAAGCACTGCAACATCCTCATTGGTGTGAAGCAGTTCATAATGAGTATAATGCTCTTATAAAGAATGGTAAATGGGAGTTGAAACCTCTACCACCTACACGCAAAGCAGTGGGCTGCAAGTGGCTTTTTAAAGTTAAGAAGAAGCCTGATGGGTCAGTTGATAGGTTTAAGGCTCGTCTAGTTGCCAAGGGCTATTCACAAATGGTAGGGAGAGACTTCTCTGAGACATTTAGTCCGGTTGTTCAAGCAAGCACAATCAGGACTGTGTTGGTTGTTGCTGTCATGAAGAATTGGCCACTTAGACAAATTGATATTAACAATGCATTCCTCAATGGGAAGTTAACTGAGGAAATTTACATGAGTTAGCCTCCGGGGTTTGAGCAGAAGAGTGAAGATGGGCAGGAACTGGTGTGTTGTTTAAAAAAGGCACTCTGTGGGCTTAGACAAGCTCCTAGAGCATGGTTTGAGACCTTGAGGAAATTTTTGGTTAAAAGCCTTGGTTTTACTGTTTCTAAAGCTAATTCCTCCTTGTTTATCAGAAATTCAGTATGCTCTCAAGTGCTTTTAATGGTGTATGTTGATGATATAGTCATCACTAGAAGCCAGGAAATGGAAGTGGATGCCATAATGCAAGCTATCAATGAGGAGTTCTCTCTTAAAGACTTGGGTCAGTTAGAGCTTTTTCTTGGAATGCAAGTTGAGCATACTTCAGAAGGTTTAATTTTGAATCAGAAGAAGTACGTTTCTGATTTATTGAAAATATCAAATCTAGGTGAGTCAACACCTACACCTACTCTTATGGTCCTTACTCCCAAGCTTAAGGCAAATGATGGACAGTTGTTTGGAGATGTCCATCTTTATCGTAGCATTGTGGGAGGCTTACAATATGTGTGTTTAACAAGACTAGACATAGCATTTGCTGTTAACAAAGTTAGTCAGTATATGAATAGCCCGTGTGATACTCATTGGAGGGCAGTAAAGCGCATACTAAGGTATCTCAGTGGTACACTTGAGCATGGGTTGTTTTTCACTCAATCTGGAAACTTTAGTCTGGTGTGCTACACTGCTGCAGACTGGGCAGCCTCGGTGGAAGATAGACGATCCACGACAGGCTACTGTGTTTATCTTGGGGGAAATCTAGTTGTGTGGTGCTCTAAGAAGCAAAGTGTTGTATCTCGGTCTACATCAGAAGCAGAATATAGAAGCCTTGCTAATTCTGTTTCTGAATTGATTTGGATTGAACAGCTACTTGATGAAATTGAGGTTAGTGTAACTGGAAAACCAGTTGTGTGGTGTGATAACAGTTCTACAATCTCTATGGCAGCAAATCCAACACACCATGCTCGTATAAAGCATGTAAAGATTGATATTCACTTTGTAAGGGAGAGAGTTCTGGCTGAACAACTCAGTGTCAACTATGTTTCTTCTGCAGAACAAGTGGCTGATATACTCACTAAGCCTTTACCACCTGCAATATTCAGTGATATACGCTCTCGACTTGGTGTAAAGTCTTGGGAAGAAATTAGTGGGACCAGTTATGAAAAAGTGGATCTGAAGAAGCCAGAAAAATGTTGAAATGGTGATTTAGATCATTAGAAAACCCGGAGAATGTTAGAGTATAATAATGCAGCTATCTACAGCTGATTAGCTGTAACTGTTTCTGATTAGTTAAGTTGTTACAACTGAATCATGTTAGTTGGGCCAGTTAATTAATCCTTGTGTTATATATAGTGGGCTTGTCCACTATACATGATCTAAGTATGAAGTAATCACTCTGTAATTTTTGAACTTTGTATTCGTTTCTCATTTTTTTCAATAAAGTTCTGTTTGCATTGTTATCTTTCTGCTGCTTTGTTTCTCTCTTCTCTCTTCCAGTTTATCATAGCATTTATCAAATCTGTTCTCTTTCATGCAAAATTTGGAGTGAAGACAAATCTAGGGTTTATAGCGTGTGATATGGGTATCGAATATTATTGGATGAGGGAGTCTTTTCACCACCAATTTCCGCCATGTTTAAGCACATATGGGCGAATTCATGTCAATGAAAAATCAAATTGCAGGTATGGTGTTTCGTTCATAATTTTATCCCGTCATTACAAAGTTTGTATGAGAAAAGAATTGTAAACAACCACATTTGCCCAACTTGTAATTCGGGTGTCGAAACTGGAGTTCATATTGTGAAGGAATGTGTGTTAGCAGAATCTGTTTGGTCTGAGCTACAATATTCGTGGAATGGTGGCTTATCAACTAATGATTTTGTGGGCTGGTTATATTGGTTGTTTAGTGATCACCCAAGCTATAAGCATGCAGAGATTCTAGTAGTAATTTGGGCTCTCTGGTATGCGATAAATTTCAAGTATCATCAAGGCAAAGTGTTAAAGAGGAACGACGTAATTACCTTGATAAAGACACAATGTTTTGACTTTTCGATGGCTACATCAATTATATACGGACCACAGCAGCCTCCTTCAATTAGTTGGAAAGCACTGTGTTAACCGGCGGTGAAGATTAATTTTGACGCTCGTCTCATTCATTTCCATCAACATGCATGGACAGGAGTGGTCATTAGGAATCATTTGGGGTTTTTAATGTAAGCAAGTAAGAGACTGATCGAGAGAGTTACCTCTGTTTTTATGGCCGAGGCTATGGCGGCGTTCCATGCCGTTTTGCTTGCAACCGACTTGGGTTTTTTTGATATAGTGGTAGAAGGTGACTCAAAACGGTCATTGACAAGCTGAAATCGACGAAAGCATATTATTCAGAAATTAGTACCTTGATTTGTGAGGTGAAGGGAAGAACAAACTCTTTCCGTTCATGTTTCTTTTCTTTCACTCCCCGTTCCGGCAACAAGGCGGCACGTCTCCTGGCGGCTCAATCATCGTTGGGAACGGACGATTTATTTTGGACGGAAGAAGCTCCCCGTTGTGTCGAAGAACAAGCGTTGGAAGATCGGCGCTGGCTGGTTTCTCCGGTAGTCGAAGAACTGTGATGGGTTGTGGTTTGAAGGCTCGTTTTTTGGTTCCTTTTATTTTCACCGCTTCATCTGGTTTTCAAGGAACTTTGAACACCAACCGTTTTGTCTTTATCTGTTTTGTTCTATTTTGGTTTTTGCATGACAGCTTGTGGGTACTTTAACTCAGTTTTATGGGTTTTTGAGCTTTTGTACACGCTTTGTTGGTTTGTAATAAAGTTGGCTGTTATTTGGATAAAAAGAAGAATATATAACCTATTGGCAAATAACAACAACAACAACAAAACCCAATTCCCATATGTATGGGGTAAGGGGGAGGTAGGGTAGTAGGCTACCCCCAACGCCAGGTTAAGAGTAGCTTCCGTGGAAGACCTCCGGCAGTCAGAAAATTAAAAATTTAGATAAAATGCAATGCATGTATAAATAAATACATAAAAACATAGCTAATCAGTATTCATATGCAGTCATTAAAATCATATGTGCGTCTGTAACGGGAATTAATCCCTGCATAATAATCCCTGCGAAAGAATCTCTGCATATAGACAGAAACATAAGATCCGTCTAAATTTAAAAGAGGAAACATGAAGAGAATGATACACAGAAGTCAACGTTAGCAAGCCCAGTTCTAATCCTTCATAAATACCAATAACAGAAACGTATTAAAAGTATAAGTCATGGAAAACACTACAAAGACATTAAAGAAGACAGAGATGATACCCTATAGATGTGACCCACACTACTCGACTACCCTAGTCTTTAGCCTCCATATTTTCCTATCAGAGGTCATGTCTTTGGTAAGGGCTAAATCCCTCAAATCAGATCTCAAGCAGTCTTCCCACTTTCGCCTTGGTCGTCCTTTCCTTCTGGCACCGTCGACTGTAATCGACTCTACCCTCCTTACCGCATCCGACGGTAGTCACCTAAGGACATGCCCAAACCACCGTAGTCTTCCCTCCCTCAATTTTTCGGAAACAGACACCACCCCCAAGGACATCCTAATAGCAGAGTTTGTCGACATATCCCTCAGAGTCCTACCACATGTCCATCGAAGCATTCTCATTTCTGCGGCCTCAATCCTCCTTATGTGATCCTTCTTGGTTGCCCAACATTCTGATCCATACAACAGCGCTGGTCTTACTGCCATTCTATAAAATTTTCCCTTAAGTTTTAGAGGACCTTCTTGTCACACAGAACTCCAGTAGCGGCCCCACTTTAGCCATCCCGCCTTTATACGGTGTGTAACGTCATCATCTACACCCCCATCTTTATGTATCATAGACCCTAGGTACTTGAAACAATCCTTTGAGGGGAGAACGTGTCCTTCTATGCATACTTCTACATCTTCATCGTTTTGGTTCCCATTGAAGTTTGAACATAAATACTCTGTCTTTTCAATATTGATCCTTAAACCTTTTTCTTCCAAAGCAGTCTTCCAGGTAGCCAGTCTATTCAACTCAGATTTTGTTTCAGCAACTAAGACAATGTCGTCAGCGAAAAGCATACACCATGGTACACCGTCTGGTATCGCACAATAGATGTCGTCCATAATCAAGGCGAAGATGTAAGGGCTAAGAGCCGACCCCTGGTGGAGTCCGATTTCCACCGAGAAAGCCTCGGTGTCGCCAACTGTAGTCCTGACGTAAGTAGTCTACAGTACATATCACGAATCGCCCGGATATAAGCAGTTGGGATCCGTCTCGTTCCAAAGTCTTCCAGATCGTATCGCGGGGAACACTATCATAAGCCTTCTCAAGGTCAATGAACGCCATGTGAAGATCTCTAGACTTTTCCCTATATTTCTCCATAAGCCGTCGAAGTAGATGAATCGCCTCCGTGGTAGACCTGCCTGGCATAAAGCCAAATTGGTTTTCCGAAACCCTAGTAACTTGTCTCAACCTAGCCTCTATCACCCTTTCCCATAGCTTCATGGTATGGCTGAGGAGTTTAATACCTCTGTAGTTACCACAACGTTGGGATCTCCTTTATTTTTATAGATTGGTATCACCGTAGACTCTCTCCACTCCTCTGGCATCTTGGCAGTCTCTAAAATAATATTAAAGATGTTGGTCAACCACTTAACTCCCTCTTCTCCTAGGGCCAACCACACAGTGATAGGAATTTGATCAGGACCGACAGCTTTGTCCCTTCCCATCTTTCTAAGAGCCATTTTGACTTCCTCCAACCCAATCCTACTTGTAGGGCAGTCATTGGCCGTAGTATGATAGTCGGCTAACCCATCAACGATACTATCTCTACATGGAGAGGCACCGTCATTAAATAAGCCAAAGAAGTAACTACCCCAAACCCTCTTAATATCGTGATCTTTCGCTAAAAGAACACCATTGTTGTCCTTAATAAACCTAATGTTACATAGATCCTTTTTCCTAATCTCCCTAGATTTTGCAAGTCTGAAGATGCCATTTTGTCCTTCCTTGGTGTCTAATCTCTTGTACATTTCCTCGTATGCCTTATCCTTTGCTTTAGCTACTGTTTTCTTGGCTTCCCGCTTTGCCTCCTGGTATCTTTGTTTAGCTCTCGACCTTTCTTCGTCGTCATTGCATTGTAGAAACTCCTTGAAGCAAGTTTGTTTTGTCTTCACCTTAGTTTGGACTTCGTCGTTCCACCACCACGATTCTTTATGTTCCTTGGCCTTCCCCGTCGACAACCCAAGGGTATTTTTGCCAACATCTCTGATGGAATTTGCCATATTTTCCATAACATATCTGCATTTTTGAGTTTGTAGTTTCAAAACTTGTATTAGACAAAACCTTACTCCTAAAGTCATCAGTTGTCGCTCCATGTAAGTTCTTCCAGAGGATCCTAGGTTTACCAAGTTTAGCCCTCCTATGAGTGCTCCGCCCGTGGGGTACGCGGTACACCAAAACCAACAATTTGTGTTGTGATGCACATGCCTCTTCAGGGAACACCTTACAGTCAATGCAAGCCCATCGTTCCTGATTTCTAATCAAGATGTAGTCGATTTGGGTACAATGTCCCCCGCTATGAAACGTCAAGTTCGCATCTCTCTTATTAAAGAAGGAGTTAGTGATCACCAAATCGTGAGCAGTAGCAAAATCAAGCAACGTACGCCCCTCATCGTTCCTGCTACCATAACCGAAACCCCCATGAACACCGTCATACCCGTCGGTTGCACTTCCTATATGGCCATTGAAGTCTCCCCCTATGAAAACTCTTTGGTCCTCCGGGATGCTCCTAAGTATATCATCTAACTGATCCCAGAAGCAACGTTTCTCCCCCTCCCCTAGGCCAACGTGTGGGGTGTACACTGAAAGGACATTCACTACTTCCTCTTCTATAATAACCTTAATCATCATGATCCTATCCCGGTATCTGCAAACTTCAACTACATTTCCTTGAGCCTAGAGGATGCCAAGATACCCACCCCATTTCTAGCATTATCTACGCCTGAATACCACAACTTGTACCCATTACACTCTCTGGCGCGAGACCCTTTCCACCTAGTCTCCTGAATACATGCAAAATCTATTTTTCTATTATTAAGTACGTCGGTCAGCTCCAGCAGCCTAGCATTTAATGTGCCTACATTCAGCGAGCAAACTCTTAATCTAGTCTCCTTGTCACCACTCTGTCGAGCCCTCCCCCTATACGCCCCATGGGATCTAAAGAAGACATGACCTCAAGTAATCATCTGTAACCGAAGCTATGAGGAACTATGAAAAAAGAATCCAAATAGACAGAAGATGCACTAATAAAACGCTAGAGAATTGAGGAGTACTAAAAATCCTAGTTGGTTACTTAATAGGATTTTAAGAAAAAATAATACTATCTTATTTAACTATAGGCCAATATCTAGAAACTATAATTTAAAATGTTCATAAATATCCGAGCTAAGCAAAAAGGATTAAAATTGTAACACGAGATATAAGAGTAATGAATCCTACTCAACTAATTGAAAACATCAAACCCAAAGCTGGTAAAAAAAGATCAGTAAAAACAAGAGAAAAAACAGCAAGAAGCTAAGTCAAAGAAAGCAGATCCAACAACAACAAGATTAAGAAATATTAAGTACAAAATATGCAAGGGATATGCAAAACAACGACAGAGCTAAAGGGATATATCAAAATTCGTGGATGCGAAATTAACAATCTTTGTTCATATAAAAATCTGATAAAAACCGTGCTATAACACAAAATCAAACCTTTACCTATCAAGAAATTAGCATGCAAAATCTTATGAAATTAGAAGAAAAAGAGAAAACCCAGAATTTTTGTTCAGAAATTAAACCGCTGACGAAGGCGATCGTTGCTCTACGAGGAAGGTGGTCCGATCGAACTGCAAGGCGGAAGAAATTGAGCCTGGAAAGTTCGTTCGGAAGTGCGAGAAAACTGAGCTGAAGTTTCGGTACTTAAATCAAACGAGGGATTAAACCAAGCAGAAGAAGAAATTATCCACGGATCTGTTCAAACTGACTTAGTACTGGAAATGGAATTTGGAAAAACAAATGAGAATAAAGGGTTGAAAAGAAAAGAAAAGCTGAATAAAGAACACGTTAAAGAGAAGTTTGATATGGAGAGAAATCCAGCATTAAGCGGGGTTCAAAGGTATACTCAAAAGTTCATAAAAGGAAGATAAATTTCAAGTAAAGTTGTAAGAAAAAAAGAGAGGGGAAAAAAAAGGAAAAGGAAACGAAATTTCTGTTGGTGAAAGTTGTAGAAGAACAAATACAATGAATTGTAGAACTATGCAACGAAAACAAAATTGTTGCCGCACTTCGGCTAAAAGCCGTTTCACTTCAAGACACGGAGATTCTCAGCTTTGAAAGCCGAAGGTTCTCTTAGCAGCAGAGTATCGTCAAATATAACAATAAGAAACAGTTCAACGCAAAACTCTCAATAATCTGAAAGAAAACTGACATTAAAAAAGAATAATTCTGCAAATGGACTCTTTTACTCTGTTTAGGAAAACGATCAAGACGATTTCTTAGCAAAGCCCCTCGCACAGCAATTCGACACTCGATCTTTTTTTTAAAGAAAATTTCTTCGAGTCA